GAGGAGAGAGAAAATCCAGAGTGGGTGCTGGGCAACAAGAGGGGGCACTGAGAGGATGAGCTTTGGGCTCTAGGGCAGAGAGAAAGTGTTGAAGGAAGAGACCAAGTATGGTGCTCAGTCCTCACAACTGATTCAGGTTCCCATTGAAATCTTGCTTCCAGGAAGGAAAAAACCACTGAAATATTCACACTTAATTAAGTTTGACATCTTCCCTCAAAACAGAAGTGTCCTAAATCCCATAATATGCCAAGAACAGCTGGATGCCCTTCAGGCTTCCTAATTACTGATTAGCCCACACAATAGTCTAATTGGTCCTTCATATTTTTTTGAGGGGGAGAATATTTTGATTGTTTTCTCACACTTGAAAAGGGTCTTGTGAGGCCTTTGTTTACCTGATACTTTACCATCCAGAGTGATAGAAAAATGTGACAGCCGGCTTCCATAAAGATTACTTATAGCCTTGGAAACTCTCCAGGGCAGTACCTCTCCTTTAGGGTGGTTGTGAATCAGAATGGACTCAATGGCAATGGGTTTGGAGTTTTTGCTACCGTCCAGACAGTGGTGAAAGCATGGGGCTGCTAACCAAAAGGTTGACAATTTGAACGTATCGCAGCTCTGTAGGAGAAAAATGTGGCAGTCTGTTTTGTTAAAGATTTACAGCCTTGAAAACCCTATGGGAAGTTCTGCTCTGCCCTATAGGGTTGCTATGTGTCAGAATCAACTCTATGGCAGTGGGGTAACCAGAGAGTAAGGCACTACTCAAATCAAAGCAAGGGGAGTGTTTTAAGTGTAGGATCCAAACAAACCTGTATCCCTGTATCCAATGGCCTTAAAGCATTATATAACAATCCTGATCTTATCAAAATAGTACAACCAATGCCTAGAGAAAGTGCTGAATATATTTACATCCTAATAAGTGTGTACTGGTAAACTTTGTAAGGTAAGCACTTAACCTCTTTTTCAAATTGAAACATTCAAGTGCGACTCAAAAATATTCCTAGCTTAAACAGAGTATTGGGAATCACAGTTTGCCTTTCCCCACTGGCACACACTACACTTTTTCCTTCCTCTGAAAGGAGAAACTCAGTGTTCACTGGCTAGACCAATGATTGAGGAATGGGCAACTAAGCCTTCTCTGTGACGCTCCAATACTTTGGTAGCTGACATAAGATGAATCCTTAAATCTGCCTATTAAATTTAGATCAGGTGAACAGTACAGTGGTTATAAGATTTTCATAAGATTCTACAAGTTATGGTGTAAATCATGTTCTGCCTGCAATCACACTGAAAATATTTGTTTAAGAAAACAAAAAAAGTTGGTGTCAAGTTGATTCCGATTCATGGTGACCTCATCTGTGTCAGATTAGAACTGTGCCCCATGGGCTTTTCTGTAGCTAGTCTTTTGGATCACTAGGCCTTTCTTCTGAGGCACCTCTAGGTTAGTAGTCGAGTGCTTAACAGTTTGTACTACCAAGGGCTCCTTTTTAAAGACCAGATGATTATAAGTAAAAGAACAGTAAGAATAGCATTTGCCCTTCCAAATTCAAAGGACAGAGCATTATTTTCAAGATAAACCAAAACCAAACCAAACTCACTGCAGTCAAGTTGATCCTGACTCATAGTGACCTTTTCGGTTTCTGAGGTGGTATCACTACAGAAGTAGATTGCCCAACCTTTCTTCTGAGGAGTGGCTGGTGGGTTTGAACCTCCAGCCTTCTGGTTAGCAGTCAATGCCTTAGGCACTATGCCACCAGAGCTCCCATTTTGGATCCCATAATGGATATATATTTCAAGATAGATGAAATAAGAAAGTATATAAAATGCTTATTACAGGGCTTTCTGCATAATAATTACTCATCTTGTCACTAACATCAACAAGAGTAGTCTACATGGCTGGAGAATAGAGTGAGATGGGAGGTTTTATTTGTTAAGCCTTTGGCTCCTTGGAGTAGGTCACACATTTTCTGTGCATTCTCACATCCTGCTAGGCCATGGTGTAGTAGAATGACATCCCTTGTCCATAGGAAGATTTAGCACAGGAAGTATGCATGAAATAACCTGATCCCAGCCCAACTAGTGTTATCCTGGGACTCATATCTTAACCTCTCTGTAGCAATAGGGCAATTGGTGTGAGCCTGAGTATACTTCCAAATGTCTCAAACCAAAAAATCCCACTGCCATCGAGTCAATTCCAACTCATAGTAACCCCCACTGAGTTTCCGAGGCAGTAAGTCTTTCTGGAAGTAGATTGCCTAGTCTTACTTCTGCAGAGGGGCTGGTGGGTTTGAACCACCAACCTTCTGGTTAGTAGTGAGATGCCTTAGACACTGTACTACCAGAACTCCTTTCCAGATGTCTCAACACAGTTCCAACTTTTTATGTTCATTTAAAACTGCTTAAGTAAACATATATCCTCCCTAGGGAACACAATCCCACAAGTGTAGACTGTTCTTTAGCCTCCCCATCTCACTTGGCACATGCTTTCCCTTTACCTCCCATCTCACTCTATTCCCTGGCCTTGTATACTCTTGTTGATGTTAGTGACAAGTTGAGTAATTACTATGCAGAAAGTCTTGTAATAAGCATTTTATATAATTTCTTATTTTATCTAACTTTTTTATTATAATACCTCTCCTGCGATGTAGCTGTTTTTAATGCTAATTTTACAAATGTAAAAACTATAACTCAGAGAGAGTTTACTCAATTGACAGAGTACACAGAGCTAGTGAGTGACTGAATCAGAATTTGTACTCAGGTTCACACATTTCCAAAACCAAATGTTGTTGTTAGTTGCTTTAGAATTGACTCCAACTTATGGTGGTGACCTTATGTACAACAGAACAAAACATTGTCCAATCCTGTCATCCTCACAAATCAGTCAATGAAAACCCTATATATCACAGCAGTTCTATCTGTAGCTGATCATGGAGGTGGCACAGGACCAGATAGTGTTTCATTCTGATGTGCATGGGCCAACTCAGTGGGCACCGCCAAAAACAACAATGGCTGCAAGAGCACAGATGGGGTGTGATGAGGCCAGTAGCAAGAACTTAACCCAGATGGAGGATATTAGGGAACCTACATCATATCTTTAGGATCTCTGGTAGCATAGTGGCTAAGGCACTTGACTGGTAACCAAAGGGCTGGGGGTTCAAACCCACCAGCCACTCCTCAGAAGGAAGGTTGAGCAATCTACTTCCGTAGTGATATTGCCTCGGAAACCCAAGGAGGGGTCACTATGAGTCGAGTCTGACTCGATGGCACATAACAACAATATCATATCTTTGAGGTCAGAGTCCAACATTCCCTCAACAGTTTTGTCACCATGTGGTTAAAATGACCATCCAATTTCCTCAGAAGAAAAGTGCTTATTTGTTCTCTTTCATTATACATTCTCAGCAGTTTGGTTAATATTTTTAGTCAACTCAGTAAAAAAAATCCAAATGATAAATATTAAGCTAAATATAATCAGAAGGTTGTTTTGGGACGGTGGAAGATCATGGAAGCCAGTTTTGGTGCTCTGACCCCCACTGGTGAGAAATGTATCCATGCATCCCTCAATCTCTTAGGATGACTCTATAACTGTGCTCTAAACAGTGGGCAAAGTGTGGAAAAAGTAGTCAATAAAAAGGAAAATCAAAATGTGAAAAACAAGCAAATAAGAAATCCCAAACATACTCATGAAGATAGGACTGAAATCGAGTAAAAAGTAAGATATTTGTAACAATCTGTAATATACAGAGTTAGTTTGGGAAATTCATGCCTGAATTTAAATTTTCTCCTAAATTCTATTTATGGGGGTGTTGTTGTTGTGTTGCTATGTGTCGTAGGACCCAACTCATAGCGAGCCTTCCTCGGGTTCCCGAGGCAGTATCACTACGGAAGTAGATTGCCCAACCTTCCTTCTGAGGAGTGACTGGTGGGTTTGAACTGTCAGCCTTCTGGTTAGCAGTCAAGTGCCTTAGGCACTATGCTACCAGAGCTCCATTTTATGGGGGAGGAGGTGGCAATAGGACAAATACACCAAATATACATTTCAGAATTTGCCATGAAAAGACAGGTTGGATTCTCTCTCAATACTGAGGAAAAGTTCTAGATCATCTTTTCTTAGTAACAAAATTGAAGTTTTTCTGAAATTGCTACCCAGTGATTTGTACAGAGACTTTTCACAGAAGTTTTCTAAGAACCAGTGGAAACAACAACAGTGTCCTTGAAGGCCCCACATACACTCAATAATGTTGACTGCCATCATTCACTAAGCGTTCCAAGATGTCAAGCAGTTGCCAGGTGCTTGACAAGGAATATATCACTTAACCCTAATGAGTATGCCTGACAGAAGATATTGTCTCATTTCACAGACAAGAAAATTGAGATTCTGAGTGGTAACAGTAATTAATTAAAATTAATTAATTAATAAGAAGCAGAGCCAGGATTCACAGCCAGATATACAAAATTCTAGAGAAGAATATTCTGAAATGAATAAGCTAGCGCAATTCTGAATAAAGGAGCTCTGGTGGTGCGGTGGTTAAAGCATAAAGCTGCTAACCAAAAGGTCAACAAGTCAAACCCACCAGCAGTATTATGGGAGAAAGATGAGGCAATCTGCTTCCACAATGATATACAGCCTTGAAAACTCTATGGACAGTTCTACTCTGTCCTATAGGGTTGCTTTGAATCAGAATCAACTTGATGGCAGTAGATTTGGTTTTTGGTATGCTGAACAACCTTGAGGAAAGCTCTTTTGCTAAAATGTGCCACAATTTCCTGGGGTCTGGAAACCTAGATGAAGGTTAATGCAATGCAGCTGAACACTGTGCCCCTAAACAATTGAAGCTGAAGGAAGTATCTTTTCCAAAGATACCCATCTGTGTTGTTACAAAGATGTACACCTGAAACAGAGTTTTCCTTTTGGATATAAAGAAACCCCCAGCAAGGGACTAGTATTTGCTGTCAGGAAAGGAGGTGTGGGACTTGCAGAGCACAGAGTTGCCAGCAGCACCATGCAGTTGCTAAGGTGCATTTTACTCTCTGTTCAACTTTTTCTGGCTTTGACTGGGGAGCATAAACCTGGGGCATCAGATTACTCTGGTATACTCCACTGTGGGATCCAGGGCTTCCAGTTCACTGCAAACCTTCCAAGCCAGGAGACAGCAAGTCCTACTGCACTAATAGCTTGGGGTAAGTTTCAGTATTTGTCCAGATTATCCAGGCAATGATATAACTTCTCTACTGACTAAAACTATCATCTAGTTGCCTGCCTTGACACTTTGCCCCCATAGTTCCTATCTTTAGAATGAGTAATCTAGATTATAACCAATTTCAGATTTGATCCCTCTTATTCCTCTCTTTCCTTACTGGTAGACCCTTGGGGTCTGATAGTAAAGTTCACTGTCCTTCCCCAGCAATGGTGACCATGAGCACTGACCACTTGTACTTTTCACCCCTCTTGCTCACAGACAATGAAGGACTGATGCACAGGCTGCAGAATGACCCAGTCTGTGGGACCTGGGTCAGGGAGGGAATAAGCAGCTCCCTGATACTGGAGGTGTCCTATAGCAGCTGCTATGTTACTGAATGGGTGAGTACTACCAACCATCAGGGACACCTGGCCTTCTCCTACCCCATCCAAGTTGACTTCTGGGGCCTCTCTCTCCAGAACTCCCATTACATCTTGCCAGTTGGGGTTGAAGGAACAGATACAGCTGGACACAAGGTGGTGACAGAGATGGAGGTGCTCAAGTGCCCTATAAACCTTCGAGGTAAGGGGTGGAAGCTTCCAGGCTCTGAGTGGTGTGGAGCTCTTGGCCTTCTGCTGAGAAGGTGTCCCTTGGCCTTTCCTACCTACTCTCTGTAGTGACACTTGACTCTTACGAAGGCGTTTCTCCAAACTTTTACCTCCATTGTTGTTGTTGTTGTTATGTGCCGTCGAGTCGGCCCCGACTCATAGCGACCCCTCCTTGGGTTTCTGAGGCAGTATCACTACGGAAGTAGGATTGCCCAGCCTTCCTTCCGAGGAGTGGCTGGTGGGTTTGAACCGCCAGACCTCTGGTTAGCAGTCAAGTGCCTTAGGCACTTCAACTCTTACTTTGCTATCTTAGAGCCCTATCTTGTAAAAGATTTGAACTTATAATTCACTCCTCCTACCTGCCTTGCTAAAAAAGTGCCTAGGAGGTGAAAATGGCCCATGCAGAGGCATCTTGGAAGATAGGCCTGGCAATTTGCTTCTGAAATGTAATGGCCTTAAAAACTCAATGGTGAGTTCTACTCTGCACACATGGGGTTGCCATGAGTTGGACTACAATGGTAGATAACAACCACATCAACCTGCCTTGCTGCTCAAAATGTAGGCCAGACCAATAACTTGATGAAGTAGAGGATCCTGGACTCTTCCCCAGTCCTACTGAACTAGAACCTGCATTTTAAAAAAAGATTCCTAAGTAATTTATAGGGGCACTAAAACTTGAGAGGAGTCCCCGGGTGGCGCAAGTCATTAATATGATCACCTAGTAGCCAAAAGTTTAGAGTTTTGAGTCTACCCAGAGTTGCCTCAAAAAATGTCCTGATCTGCTTTAAAATTGAATAAATAAATAGACCATGGAGAAATCTTATGGAGCACAGTTCCACACTGATACCCACGGATTACCATGAGATAGAATCTACAGCAGCCAGTACTAGTACTTGAGTTGTTGTTGTTTTGCCGTCGAGTCGGCCCCGACTCATAGTGACCCCTCCTTGGGTTGCCGAGGCAGTATCACTACGGAAGTAGGATTGCCCAACCTTCCTTCCGAGGTTTGAACCGCCAGCCTTCTGGTGAGCAGTCAAGTGCCTTAGGCACTATGCTTCCAGAGCTCCTAGTACTTGAGAGCCACCTCTAAAGAACCAAAGAAAAGTATTGTGCTTAAACTGAGGGCGGGGGTGGGGTGGGGAGAAGTGTATTTGAAGTGGTTGGGTATGGAACTCCACTGCTTCTATGGATGTTGTTAGTATTATTTTCTTTCAAACAAGACCAATTTCAGGGCGCTCTTATACAATGTGACTTGGCCTTTACTTCATCTTCTGAGATTTAATCTACAGTATGTAACATGGACATACCTACTCCAATGTCTAAATATCTATGAGAATCTAATATTAATTCTTTCTAGCAAAACAAAGGCTTTAAATGCCAACCTCCCTGTTACCTGGTTTGTAATACTCTTCTCTTAAAATTTTAACCCAGATAATCCAGATGCTGACCTCTGTGATTCTGTCCCAGTCTGGGACAGGCTGTCATGTGCTTCTTCACCGGTCACTCAAGGAGACTGTGAAGCCCTAGGCTGCTGCTACAAAGCTGAAGAGAATTCCTGTTACTATGGAAACACAGGTGTGTGGAACACTGCATCTTTAGAATCAGTTGAGGAAAAGTGCCAATTACTTATGACTAAACCCAGAGAATGGGGAATTTACCCAGTGAGAAAATATTAAAGATGATTTCAGGTTGATTTATAAGCAATGTATCCAAGAACGTTTGGATACTTAAGTTAATTGAGCTTTCTACATTATCCAATTGTCTATTCCCCCAGCATCCAAATAAATAATATTAAAAGACTCAAGAAATTAAGTCTATGTGTATGATCCTCACTTATAGGCAAAAACTTAATCTATTCCCAAAGAATAGCCACTTAGGTAGTTGATAGTTTCCTCACAACAAGGCTCTCTGAAAACTTAATCTCAAACTACTTCTTTCTACATGTCCCAAAGCATGCTCCAATGTTTTCTAATGTCAAAATGTTCTCTGAATGAGCAGGTAGATGTCACACTCTAAGCCCTGAATTGTAAGTGCTCAGTAAAAAGAAGCAGGTACTACTATCCTCAGTTAGCAGATGAAGAAGCTGAAGCAAGGAAATACTTTGCCTAAGGTCTCACATTAAGTGGTGAGGCCAGGCTGAATTTGCACAAAGATCATTAGCTGGAAATACCAAACTTTCAGAGGGAGATAAAAAACAACTGAAGTGTTAGGCTCTTGTCTAGACTGTTCAAAAACAGAAATGATTTGGCTGTACCCCAATTTCATGTTTTAGTGACAACACACTGCTCCCAAGATGGCCAGTTCTCCATCACAGTGTCCGGGAATGTGACCTCACCACCACTGCTCTTGGATTCTGTGCGTTTGGTCTTTGGGAATGGCAGTGAATGTAAACCTGTGATAGCAACACGTGCCTTTGTCCTGTTCCAGTTCCCATTTACATCTTGTGGTACCACAAGACAGGTCAGAATATCTGCCTTTTGACTTTACTTTTGGAGATAGAGGTGAGATAGGAATGTCCTGGTAACTGGTAGAGTACTGGGATATCTTAGCCATGAGGAATATGCCTGAAGACTTCTTTATGTTTAGAATACTCTCTAGGGAAGAATAAAAAGTTATTATTAAGAAAGCTGATGACCTTCCCTGGGCCTTCAACTGAGACTATCACAGCTGGGGTCCAGCTAAGAGGGTATCCTTTTACCAAGTATCCTAATGAGAAGAATTGTTGTTGTTGTTGTTGTTGTTATTTGCCATCAAGTCGGCCCCGACTCATAGCGACCCCTCCTTGGGTTTCCGAGGCAGTATCACTACGGAAGTAGGAATGCCCAACCTTCCTTCCGAGGAGTGGCTGGTGGGTTTGAACCACCAGCCTTCTGGTTAGCAGTCAAGTGAGAATAAGAGACACTAACTCTTCAAGTTCTTCTTATCATGCTGCTCTGGAAAACAAGCAGGGAGGTGGAGTGGAACTGGTAGGAGTGATCCTGACTGCTTCATTTAGGAATTCAAACCCTTTTGCAGGTCCTTTGTTCTGAAATAAGGTAAAGTGATAGTTTACAGGTTAGTCAATGCTACCTGCTTCTGCCTCTGCACTCAGGAGCAGATATGTATAAAAGGGGGCAGTACCACCAAGGGCTAGAGCAAAGCAATTTCTAAGTAAAGCAGTGAAGGATTAGCAGGAATGACATGGTTTCTCTTTACACACTCTTTTAGATGGCTGGAGACCAGGCTGTATACGAAAATCAACTAATAGCATCTAGGGATGTGAGAACGTGGAGTCATAGTTCTATCACCCGTGACAGTATATTCAAGTAACTATCTTCTTTAACTTGACCTGGCTTGGCAGGATGATTTCTCCTTCTCCATAAAGCAGAAGCTATATGCTAAGCCCTGATCTATGGAAGAATACTTTCTCAATGGCCTTGAAAGTTTCTGTCTTCTCTTAAGTTTACACACTGCCTTGATTCTCTTCCAATCTTGTTGATTATAATTTCACCAAGTCTACCTCTATCACTGCCTTTAACTTAACACTTCTAACCCACTTAGATTTCTATTTCACTTAATTGGATATTTCTGTTTCTCATTTTGACCTCTTATTTTTACCTCATTGTCCATGCTGTAGCCAGAAGAATCCCTGTAAAAGTTGATCAGTTAGGTCACACATTCAAAATTTTCTAGTTGTTTTCTTATTATTTAAATTTAAGGTCTTAAGCATAATCCTCAGGATTCTGCATAAAGTGGTTCTCGCTTCTGCAGCCTGACTTCTTACAATATTTAGTCATTCACTTGCTATTCTCCATCCCAGAATGGCCTTCTAGGGAGTTCTCAAAAGATGTTACGCTCTTTCTTAAATCCATGTTTTGTTCTCTTTCCTATACCTCTCAGCACAGTCACTACTTCTGAATCCTTCATATCCAATTCCCTCTAACATCTTCTATGACTATCTCCTCTCTAGTAAGTACTCGTTTCTCACATTACCCTGTTTGTTTCTTATACAACTTTTCTCACAATGTCAAACTCTCATTGGTTCTGTTTGCAGGTTGATCTCCCCAATTAAAACGTAGTTCCAAAAGGGCAGGAACCATATAGATTTTGTTTACAAATTTATCCAACATTTAGTACTTAACAAGTCCTCAAAAAAGGTTAATGAAAGATGGTATGAGTTACAAACCCACATTCCTTGACTTAAAGTTTTATTTCTATGCAGGCTTCAAGTCAGCTGCAGCTACTCAGTAAGTAGCAATGTTCTTCCAGCTAATGTCCAGATTTTCACCCTCCCACCACCCCTTCCTGACATCCAGCCTGGACTCCTCACTCTGAAACTTCAAATTGCCAAAGGTAAGGCCCTCTTGTTTAGAGCATCTGCCTAGTCTATGCCCTGTCATTTTTCAGGAGCATAAAGATCCTAAGCTGGTAATGAGTGATGCTTATATAGATGATGGTCTGGCTCAAGTAAGCTCAAGGTCCCTAGCTGTTCATACTGTTTTATCTGCTTATTTTGGTACTTACAGACAAAAACTATAGCTCCTATTACACTGTTGATGACTACCCAGTTGTGAAGTTCCTTTGGGATCCCATTTATGTGGAAGTTTCCATTCGCCAAAGAACAGACCTCTACATAGGGCTGCTCCTTCATCAGTGTTGGGCCACACCCAGCACAAACCATTTGTATGAACCACAGTGGCCCATAATGGTGAATGGGTAAGTGGCTTTTAAAGGCACCTATGCCAGACTTCAAAGGAGAACCCATCCTAACTGCTACACCTCTTTGCTTAGATGCCCCTACACTGGAGACAATTATCAGACCCAAATAATCCCTGTCCAGGAAACCTTGAACCTTCCATTTCCTTCTCACTACTGGCACTTCTACATTTTCACCTTTGCCTTTGTTGACTCTGAAGAAAAGCAGGCACTCGGGACCGGTAAGATGCTTCCTTCATGCTTCTCAGTTTGGCTTTGAACCCCTTGAGTTGGAGCTATAGCTATATCCCACCACTTCTCATCCAAAGTAGTGCTTTTAAGGTTGATTGTTGATACTGCCTCAGAACAATCCTAGTTACCAAATACGTAAGTAATACCTATCAACTACAATTTCTAGTTCTTTAGTACTATTTGTAATATCACTTGAGCTATCTAAACATGTTTTGATAATTTTCTTGACTCTTTCCTGGGAAGATAACAGTTTTTGAAAACATTTATAACATCGTATTACAACATTGCCCCAATTCTGTTGGCTCCTAGGTGTATCTGCACTGCAGTGCATCACTATGCCAACCAGCTGGCACACTGTCCTGTATGGTGACCTGTCCTGTTGGCAGCCGTGAGTGTTGATGTTGTCTTTACTTGAACAGATTTGAATAAATCTTGAGTCCCAGTTCTAACCTCTTTTTTAGACTTTGTCCAAATGACTCAAACTGAAGTCTCATATTTTTAGAGAGGTTTATTTAAGAATTATGATGTAGTAGAACTGAAATACAACGATTTTTCTAGGGTTCCTTGACCTATTAAATGTTTTTATAGCACCTCTGGTAACTGGGCCTTGGTGTTTTTTTTTCCATGTAGATTTTTATTAAACCAGGAGTCAAACTTAATCATGGACTACATTTGGTTTAACACTTAAATTTTGGTAGTTTCTAAATGTAAACTTCTATACCTGCTTGAAGTCAGATCTGGCAATAGGGTCTGAAGATCCACAAGTGGAGTATGACTATGGACTTAGAGTGTCATCTTGAGTTGTTAGGCCAATATTTACACAATGCATGTACTTCCACTTGGTACATTAACTTGTCTAGCCCCTGAATTAATTGGGATTCATGACTCCTTAAGCTTTAAGTTCTTTCTAGCAAGAAAGTAAAATATAATTAAAATAATAAAATGCTTATTGTGAATAAATGGTAACTATTGACGGGTATTCAGCTGCTAACCAAAAGTCAATGCTTTGAACATACCAGCCACTCCATGGTAGAAAGGGAAGGCAGTCTGCATCCATAATTTATAGCCCTGGAAATCCTATGGGACAATTCTACTCTGTCCTAGAAAATTGCCAAGAGTCAGAATTGACTTGACGGCAGTGTGTTTGGTTTTTGGTTTATTATGACAAGGTACTATATTACATACTTCCATTCAGCCCTAATAATAATATTGCCTACACTCCTAAAGAACTAGATTGACTTAACTCGACTTTCTTAAGGTCCTGTTGTTGCTAGTTCACCTCTAGTAGATTCCAACTCATGGCAATCTCATCTGTGCAGAATAGAACTGCTTCATGGGGTGTTCAAAGCTGTGATCCTTCAGAAGGAGATTGTGTCAGGCCTGTCTTGCTAGGGTGGATTTGAACAACCAACCATCTGGCTAATAGTCAAGCACTTAATCTTTTGTGTCATCCAGGGACTCTGTCCTAGGGTCCTATAACTGGCAAATAGAAGTGGGATTCAAATCCAGTTCTGTTAAACAGAACTGTTACCTTATGTTTTACCAGTTCACAGGGAAGGGTCCTTCCATTACAAATGTTAACTGTCCCCAGTGCTTATACTTAAAAAAGGACAACAGTTTAGGGATAGTCTATAACATTATAACCAATTTGTCCAACTCTGGTGAAACTGAAATGTTAGATACAGGGTCTTTAGACTTGCTCAAGTTTGTATTAACTAGAGTTCAAACTATTTCAAACTGGTTAAGTCATGGTCAACCAAGCAAGATCAGAACAAACTTGAATTTATTAAATTGGGGTATAGTAGAATGATAAAATTGGGAATGGGAATGGGAAAAGTTATGGGTTAAAGCCCTGGAATGGGAACCCTTACAGAAGCCTGATGCAGAAGACTGGGTTATTGCTAGGACCATGGAGAGTGACACACATTTCGGGGCTTGGGGAGAAGGCACAGTCAACCACTATCTTTGAGCCAGGCAGTGCTGTTTCAAACCCTGCCTGTCAAAAATCTGGTTGCTATGCAACATGCACACTGCCCTTGTTTTCTAGGAGGAAGATTAAGTTTCTAGCAGGGTATCAACCTATAAGTTTTCCTGTTCTAGTATACCTATATTTTACAAATTCAGGTCTGTTGTGGTTTCATTTTGTCAGCCAAGACTGAATGGTGAACAACTGGTTTGAAGTCCTGCTATTAACACACTAATGTGAGGTGTAAGGCATGAATCAAAGCTTTACATATCAAGGAGCATGGCCTTATACGGACTCACTTCCTACCCCTAAATATGCTGAGAAGTAACTAGTTCCGATCTCTCCGATAGGAAATGGAAGAAGCACTGACATTCATTTTCATAACTATACTGCCAGCATTTCCAGCAAAGGACCAATGATTCTCCTCCAAGCTTCAAAGGATGCTTCAGAAAAGCTTTATCAGTATTCGAGTGAGTGGTGAAAGGTTGATTTAACTTACCTGAATTTCTATTCCTGAAACATTAGTCAAACCAGCCATTTCTTCACCTCTGCCCTTTATCCCTTACTAATATGATCAATATTTACCTCAATATAAATTAATAATAATTTTCTACAGACAAATTATGACAGTCTTTATCAGGCAGTAGAATCACTTGGTTGGTTTTGGCATGTATTAACCTAACTTTCCATCCTATAGGCTCTACTGTGGACTTCCAAGCTCTGTGGGTGGCTGGAATTTCTGGAACTTTAATTCTTGGAGCCTTTTTAGTGACTTACTTGGCTATTAGGAAATGGAAATGAGTGACTTGGACCAAATATATTAATAAAATCAGACTGTTCTATCAACATATGCTCAGCTGCTAATTTAAACATTAAAGGCCACTCTAAAGAAACTTATCTCCTGTTGGCATCTCATATTTCTGGGTGAAATTTTTTCTGAGAATGGATTCAAAAACATATCCTTTCTATTCCAACCCTTTTAACTGATGAATGGAATATTTTAGTAGAATTTCATAATTGCAATGTATACATGACTAAATATCTCAGAATTAGCAAATGTTTTACAAACTCAAGAAGGGTGTATAACAAAGTCCAAACCAAACTAGGGTAACATGAGATTAGCCTTCTAGACCAGTGGTTCTCAAATGCTAGTGTGCATCTATATTACAGGAAGACTGGTTAAAACAGATTGTAGGGCCCTATCCCCAGCTTCTGATTCAGTATGTCTGATTTGAATCCTAAGGATTTGTATTTCTAACCATTTCTAGATTATACTGATCCTTCCTAGTCTAAAGATCACACTTTGAAAAACAACCATTAGAATAGTGACTACAAGGAGGTAACCAATCATAAATTGGTTGACTGGAGGTGGCTTAATCAGAAGACTTTGTGTTGAGCCATAATGTACAAAGAGTTTCCTAGTTCAGTAGTTCTTAAGACTGTCAGAAAAACACAGAGGGAAGAGTCATTGATGTGACGTCTCAATGTAAATACTCAAAGAAATTTTTGGTAACCGGTGTTCTTAGCCATAATGTGGGGAAGTCTCTACTCTTGTCATGGTGGAACTCTGAAATTATTGCTGGTTAAATAAATTTTCCCAATTTATTTCCCTTCAAGTAGTTATGTTTAGGTTACTTCACACTTCAGTAAAGTAATAGGTGTTTAATTTTGGTTACAAAGAAGCAAGCAAACCTCACTTTAAACTGCTTTGGAAACAGGGAATATTGCTTGTCTTGCTTTTGATATGGCAGGAGCTACCGTAATTGTTTAATATTTACTAACACAGTTGATCCTCATGAAAACCTAATAAGTAGGCACTTATCCCTGACTTCCAAAAAATGGAAACAGGGGTACATAGAGGTCAAATAACTTATTTACTCACCCAGCCAACTAATGGTAGAGCTGAAATTTGAATACAATCTGACTTCAGAGCATGATCTTAACTCCCCATTATACTAAAAATACTCAGCTACTCAGTGAGACCTATTTCCAGTGGGGGAGACACAGGTTCAGCTGGATAAATGGTTTTCTTAGGTTTGCCTCTGCCTGCCTGCCTGCCTCCTGTTCAAGGAGGAGTAGTTAACTTAGATGGCTATATATACTAGTCTGTGACTGCTGATTGTCTTCTGTGCTTAATGCCAAGCCTTTTACAAGGGGGAAATCATGATTTTCAACTGTAATAGAGTGGTAATTCACCTAGGCAATCATCAGTGAATAAGAAAAACCAATTTTAACAATTGTATTTAACCTTATGTATCTAAAATGTTATTCTTTCAGCATGTAATACATACAGAAGTTTTAGACTGCCTTTTTTTATATTAAGTTGTTGTAATTCTGTGTATTTACAGAAAAATCTCAATTTGATACTAAATTTTTATTATAAAAGTTCTGTTTTATAAGACAGTTGAAAAGTAGAGCTCTATATCTGAACAGTCACATATCTGAATAGAATATTTTTAAACTAAAACTGATCATATAATTATACTAATAACATTTCAAAAGTTCATTAGCAACATCTGACTAGTATATACTGTACTTAATAGGTACAGCATAACTCTAAAGTCTACTGAGTTCAAGCATGTATTTGACATACTATGTAACAGGCATTATACTAGGCTTTGGGAATAAACCAATTTTAAAAAATGGGAAAAACTGACCCAGCAAGCAAAGCAGACAAAGGTCAGATTATAAATTCTAAGAAGGAAAAATAAAGCCAGATATAAGAACAGAGTGGGCGAGGAGGGCTTGTCAATTCCCTAATAATGTATCTTGACTTCCCACCTTAAATAAAGATATCTAGATTCTCAAACAAAGGCCCATCACAGTGCCTGGCATGTCAATTTTTTTTCTGTGTCTAAATAATTTTCTTTTTAAGTGGAAAGAGTAGTACCATGGAATATAATACTGGAACCAATGAGAGGAAAAGCAATATTGGTGCTTATGTCTCTGCCTAAGAACCTACACTTTGTCCCTTACCTCAGGCTTGTGAATATCCTTCCCTACCTGGCAAGAATGAATTTGGCACTTCTTACCTGTCAACACTTATTCCTAGCTGATTTACCAAAAATGGTGCAGTGAAGGGCAAAGCTTAGTGCAATGTTTCCCAAAGGGTGTTCACACACTGTAGTGTGTTACTAGGTTTTGGGTTAGGTGTACTGTGACCAAGTTTAGGGAACCCAGAGTCAAGCCAATTGATCTCTAGCAGAGCTTCTAAACCTAATTCACTAGCATAAAGTGAACCTCCAAAAGGAGCTACAATTTACTTCACAAACATTTGATCATGGAATTTCTTTTCAGAACATTTTGCAGGAGTAATATTTATGCTTTTAGATGTAGAGTGTTTCTGATTTCCTACTATTGAATCCTTATTAGAACTTAGTCTAGTCAGTGAGGAGAAAGAAAATTGTTGCTGAAAGAAATTATTACTATGTTATTGCTCAATTGAATAGTCCAGGACCCCAAAACTACCTCATTTGAATTTGAATCACTGCTGTAAAGACAAGTAGCACTTGGGACCGTTTACTTGAATAGTTTATTAATATACACAGTCTCTTAGCAAAATTGAAAATTTCAGTATCTACAGAGGCCCCATTTTTAAACTTGCTTATACTACTGTTTTTGTCATTTGTCTAATTTTAAAGTCTCTAGTACATTCCTGCAGATGGTTAATAGTTCTACTCCAAACTCTTCCCTACCCTTACCATATCCTCCAAATTTAGTGAAACCAGTATCTATTTAAATTGATTACTATCTACCCTTTGGCTAAAGGATTATCAAACCTGACCACAAATATAATGTAATTTTTTGTTATATATACCTTGGTCTTTTGCTGGATGCAATAATGATAGCATTATTTTGATTGCTGATTTTGATTTTCTCTATGTAATTCTCACTAGTATATATTGTAGAGCATTCATGTGATTACATAATCTTCTAATATAGAAGGATAGTTCTCTATACCCACTGCATAGCTGTTAGCCTAAAATTTCCCTTCAATGTCATCCGTTTCTTTATAGAATGAATCCCAGGTCATGTCTCTTAGTTTATTACTTAGTCTTGATGGCATATATCATTTTGTATCAATCTGAGAAATGATGCATGAGGCCAACTTTGAAGACTTGCATGTCTAAAAATTTTACTTTTTTCCTTTTTTTTTTTTTAACTTAACTGTTGATAATTTAGTTAGGTATCATGTTACAAATTAGGAATCAACTGCCTTTAAGGAACCCTCATGGTACAGTGGTTAAAACATTCAGCTGGTAACCAAAAGGTTGGCAGTTTGAATTTACAAGCCAGTCCATGGGAGAAAGATGAGGCAGTCTGTTTCCATAAAGATAAAAGCCTTGGAAATCTTTTGGGGCAGTTACACTTTGTCAAAATTGACTGGAAGGCAATGAATAAACTTTCAATTTTGAAGTTAATATCCCGTTTACTTTCAGCTTTTAGTGTTGCAGTTTAATGCCATTCTGATCCTTTAAAAAATGACCAATACTTGGCTATTTCTTATGCTTTAGAATTTAAGATATTCTCTATCGTTGTTTCTTAAAATTAATGCATTTTTTTGTGCTTATACCCAAAACCAAACCAAACTCACTGCCATCAAGTCATTCCCTACTCACAGTGACCCCTCCTTGAGTTTCTGAGACAGTATCTCTGCAGAAGTAGATTGCCCAATCTTCCTTCTGAGGAGTGGCTGGTGGGTCTGAACTGCCAGACTTCTGGTTAGCAGTCAAATGCCCTAAGGCAATCACAAATGCACTATGCCAATCTATTAGCTTCATGACTTTTACTGAGCCCAAGAAAAAGTTATTTCTGATTTCATCATCCTCTCAAGCTTGTTTTTCTAGAATTCTTATTTGGCTTTTTATCCATAAAGGGGATTAAAATTTATATACATATATATAAAGTATATTTTACCCTTTTTGTGTATCTTTGAGCTTCTGGTTCTTAAAAGTGGATACACACTTAGAAGGACAAGAATAGAGTTTTTGCCTCCCTATTAATTTATATATGAAAGTTTAATACATAAGATGAAGCATGATGAAAGATCACATGGACCAGCTCCCAAACTAAAAATTAAAGAATCACCAAAATAAGCTCCCAATTAGCTTTCTACTGATGCCTTCCCCCTGACTCCCTTCCAAGGTAACACACTCAAATTATCTGTTCTAATTTCCTTTGTTTTCTTTAGTTTTATCACATAAGTTGATTTTTATGAAATGTGTAGAAATATTTTACATTTTATAACTTGACTTTTATTCACCACTCTTCTAAAATTCACCTATGTATATTTGTCTTGCTTTGAAAACTGTATTGTCTCTCTTCTCAGACATTTTCAATATGTATTAATACTTCTTCAAATATTTTGCCTATTCACCTAAGGAGGCACAAAAGCTAATCAGAAGCTCTGTGCAGATGTGACCAAAAACTGCCAGTGTTCATATTTCTTCTCTATTCAGCTAGGTTTAGTTCTTTAAAGTAACACCAATGGAGGAGCACAAGTCTTTAACACTAAACTCTTCCTACCTCACACCCCTAAATTCCAAGGATCTCTGTCTCTAGTCATCCCCTACCAGAATGAAAGAAGGTAACTCTCCTGGTCATTGGGCAAAGGGATCAAGTGTTTAACAAGTCATAGTTTTGTTTTTATTTTTCAGTTTGAGGCATACAGTGAAACACATAAAGTATACTAACACTGTTTGTAGTTTACTGAATTTTTATATAAATCCATATAACCACTACCCTACCCAAGAGGACATAGGGAGTATACCAGGAAGTTTTTGTTGTTGTTGTTCCCACTT